CCCCGCCCCCCCCCCCCCCCCCCCCCCCCCCCATCCAAGGGGCCTAGGAGGGGCTCTCAGCAGCAGCTGTCAGAGCTGTTGTTACTGGTTAACCATTTAAACAATATAATTAGAGGAGGTTAAACAGATATTTTAAAATGATATTTACATTGTGAGAGTGTGATTTTTACCTTCCTGCTTCATTTTAAGATTAAGTGGCTGTCTTTCAGCCCTACACTCCTTGCTTTCTTGTGTTTATAGTAAGAGAAGATGCTTAAACACTTCTTAAATATCATTCCAGTCTTCAGTGGAGACATACACTAATGATACACTTGTTTTGTTTTCATCTTGATGGATGGAACAAGGTGGTCTGTTCCTCTTTGAGGCATCTGGAGCTGAAATGAAAACGTCTCTTTCCCCAAAACCTCATGCCTTCCCTTCTATCATCTAGAATAACAATAGAAGTATATTTTATTTGCCTGTCTTGAAGGATATTAAAATTTATTTTCTTCACAAATTATTAAAATGTATATGGTTTTAAAAAACAACCCCCCCCCCACTGTAGATGGGAAGGAGGGTGGGGGGGACCCTATATTTGGAGTACTCTATGGAGAAATAATTTGTGTGGTCACTTTTAAAACAGAATGGCTACCTTTATTTGAATTACTTCAGGCTGAGAGAAACACTGGAATATAACTAGAGTTGGAGAAGCAGAGCTTATTTTACCTTTTTCTAACTATATATTTCCTTTTCTTTAAGGCGAGAGGTTCAAATAGCTTCCCCTTTCTGAGAAATCTCTTAGACAAGCTAAATGCTAATCAGCAGAATATTCTAAAATTCATTGCTTGCAATGAAATTTTCCTGATGCCAGCCACAGTTTTTATGCTTTTCAGGTAAGATTGTGGTAATCATCCCCCTCCCTGACATTTACCTCTGCACTCCCAAGTCCTTCCTCAGCTCCAGTCTTTGACTTCTGCGTGGGTACAGGGGTCTTGGCTTATGTGGTGCCAGTTGCTGGACCAGGGCCTAAGGTTGTTTATAGAGACCAAATTCAATGTTCTGCATGTGTGGTTGCCCCCCTCCGATTTAGCTTATGTTCCATGACATCAAATTGTTCATGCCATCTTACCAGTAGAATTGGTATTGGGAAACAGACTTGGCCTCTGTCTTTTTATTGGACGAATAGGCCCATGAATTTTGTCTAGTCATGGTGTGACCTAGGAGTAGTAAAATATAAGCTTAAGAGCATAAACTTGACACGATGAAGCTTAAAGCCTCTCTTGATAAAGTTACCTCTGTATTAGGAATTTGCTGTGCTAGGAACCATGCTAGCAGAAATAAGTGTGACTTGCTGAAGAGTTATGACCTAAGGTCCTGACCCTTCAATGAACTACAAAGTCCCCTTTAACTTCTGGTTAGGAGATTCAAGCCTACCTGTTAAGATTGTAAGCAGAGATCCATGCAGATACAGACTTCTAACCACATGTACCCTTCAGGCAAAATCAAACCTTCAAGAGCAAATTGGATGCTTATCTTGCTGGGATCCTATGACCCCAGCTGACTTCCTGCCCTTTGGGTGGGGGGCTGGACTCGATGATCTTCCGAGGTCCCTTCTAGCCCTAATGTCTATGAAATCTTTTACTGTGTAGGGTTTTAACACAATGGGATCCTTATCCTGAATGTGGCCTCCACTATTTTTGCATTATAGTAGCACCTGATTGGCTTTGTTTTGAACTTTAGAAAAGGAACCAGATCCTTCTTGTGTAGGTGGCACTCTTTTTTTTTTTTTTTTTTTTTTTTTTTTGAATGGGGGGGTTTTCCCTTTTTCCCCCCCCCCCCCCCTTTTTTTTTGTTTTTGTGAATGGTGGTGTTCTCCTCTTCTCCTCCTCCTCCCCCTTCTTTCTGGCTACATCAGGCAGCTATTTTCAGGAATGAGTTTTCATAGAGTAGATCTGTTTTGTGGAGGGGGGGTATTGGACATTTTGAGAGATCCTCTGAAGAATTGCATGTAACAAATAGAGTTCATCAGTTTAGCAGGCTGAAAAAACAAGTCAAATAAGAACTCTAGCATATGTAAGACAAAACTGGCTTGAGTAAATGAAGATCTGTCTGTCCTGCATTGTTTGAGGCTTTTTGAAGCATAGTATGATCTCTTGGAGTTCTGTGTTTTGTTTGTTTTCTTATACAACTTCTCTGCAAGGGGTGGTAATCTCCTGAGGTTTATGGGTACTGGAGACTACTTGGATCCCCATTTGAGTCAAATCCATAGCACAACATAAATTGAATGTTTGGGAAGGGAATAAGGCTTGCACCAAAGCTAGCTGGAACATGACTTATAGCTACTAACTTTAAAGCAGTGGGGGCCAACCTCTGTGGCAGGCGTGCCATAAACTAGGCCTGCACCTTCCTGAATTCTCTGTATCATTGTGTCCACTTGCTGCTCATGTTTTCAAAAGATGAAGCTTCTGCTTTTTTCTAATAGGAAATGTAAATTGACAATAATTTGAACACTTATTTTCTCCTTGCAGTGGCCAGGGAAGCCTGCTTCAGCCCTTCATTTACTATCGATTTCTTACACTGCGTTATTCCTCCCGTAGAAATCCATATTGTCGGTAAGCATTGTTGGTTGTTTTTTAAGATGGTTAATGCATAGGAACTTCCTACTGTGTTATGCTGTTGCATAAAAGTGATGCACACATAATTGATTCTTAATCTGAGACCAAGATTAACTGTAGTTATATATGGAGGTTAACACTAACATGAATTAGGTTCAAATTGCATCTCAATTGACCCTTCCAGCCTGTACCTGAAGTGGTATCTTGCTTTCCACCCTACTTCTTTTGTATTTATATCCACAAGTACCTTGTGGAACAAGCCACTTTATATGTTTTAAACTTCATTTTACAAAAGGTTGCTCCCTCATTCTAGACCCTTGCCACTCCTAGGCTGCTGTGCAGCCTAATCTGCCTACTTCTGTCTCTTTAAATTGAGTATGGGCTGGTGCAAATTCCTTACTGGTAATTTAAACCTGGTTTTACAGCAAATGTAAGCCAGCTCCTTGGTAAAGTAAACAAAGATGATTATAGGCAAAGATTCATCAAATTAAGAAAGACCAGGTGACTGTTTGCATTGGTTTAACCAAAATGATCTTTAAAAAAACTAAACCTGTGCAGCTTTTGTGAAAATTTAATTTCTAGGTCAGTGGCTCTCCAACTCATTCTGAAGACAGTGGCATGAAGAAAAACTTCAGGAAGCAACTTTTTTCAATCTGCTTGTTTCTTGGTTCTGAATGGTTTTTAGTTGATAACCCAGATACATTTGGCTGCCTGTCATCTACAAGCCAATTTGAGTTGCATCCCCAGAGTAGTGATCTGCAAGAAGTCAGTTGCTTTATTACTGCTGATTATCTTTATTTAAAGAGATGTAAGAAAAGATTTCAGTCCTTGACATCTCAAAGTACTTGAGCTGTTCAGTATGATACGTTTTGTTTGTTAGCCCCTTTTAGCTGTGCAAGCATTGATGCATTTTTTTTTTCTTATTTTCCATTTCTGGGGATAGATTATAGAACATAAGCTTCTTGTTATTTCTCAAAGCTTGGTGGCCTCTTTGCCCCTTCTTCTGCAGCCTTCTGTCCTTCCCTCTTTTCCTCCTTTCTCTCTCTT